AGATGCATCCCTTGACAGAATACATTTATATTTGACTCTTTTACAAGTTCATCATATGAATTTCACTGTTGTAGAGTCCTTTAATGTGATAGACCAACACAGCAGAGAACACTAGTACAAAAATGAGATTAACACACATTTTTCTAGTCTTCTAGTAAAAAAAAAAAAAGAAAAGTGTGGCACAATTTCAGAGTTGGCCATCTTTACTTTGGTACCTCTTAACAAATACCTGTGTAAACTGGCTTCCGAAGTTGCCTAATATAAAAACATAAGAATCTTCCAAGCTTGTACCATCTCCCAGAGCTCTGTTCAATCTACTATCTGATCATGGAAAGAGGACGGACCACCTGCAGACAGGCCAAGCAATGGACGTCCACCTAACTAAGAGGTTGGAGGAGCACAGAATTAGTCAGAGAAGCAGCCAGGAGGCTCACTGTGGCTCTGGAGGAGCTGCAAATACACACAGCTCAAGTGGGAGAATCTGTCAGCAAGTCAACCTTAAATCCACACTTCAGATGTTTAGTGAAAAAGGGCCAGAAGAGCACCGTTTTTGAAAGTAAACCCCTTTAGAAGTTTGGATTAGGCTCTAAACAGTGTTGACGACAGCACACCAGGTTAGATCAGATCAAATTTTTTTATATAACAATAATTTTAAAGGTTTCTAAGTATTACCACCTGTAGTTATGCAGCAAAATTTGTATTAAAGAGCTTTAACATAATTAATAAAGATAATACATTTTTTGCACAGGAACGTTCAGATTTATCAAACGCTCTCTTTTAAATCGGAAGATGAAAAATGTCCAAAGTTTGAAACAAGACCCCTAAATTTTTTGTTGTACGGTCAAGGTTTGCATACTAATGTTAGCCTTGAAGTCGCACATTAGTCTTATGTATGGTGACCAAAAAAAAAAAATAAATGTAATTTTTTTTTTTATCTTTTTTTTTCCAACGTACATCTCTTTGACTCGTCTTGCCACTGAAATATGGAATATAATAAACTTGTCTTGCCTTATATATAATCCTAAACACACGTGCTAAAGTTATTAAATGTTATTAAAAGTAATAACAATAGTGAGGCCCGGTCACTGAGCAAACAAATCCTATTAGTTTGTGAATGTGGAACATTTAAGCTGGGTTTGAACTGTGAGTCTAAACATCTTTACCGCTTTTCTTTTGAAAAGGGATACCTAAGTCCATGTCTTCCAACAAAATAAAGTTGTTTTTTTTTAAAAAAAAAAAAAAAAAAAAACTGGAAATAAAAGAATAAATATTAATTTTCCTTGTCCTTTGTAAAAAAAAAAAAAAAAACGTACAAACTTATAAAATATATCTTTCTTGCAGCTCTTCACGAAATGCAGGTTGCAGAAGTGGAAACAAAAGGAGCTCTGAATTGGAAAGGATGTTGACTCCTGGGCAACAAGCACTCCTGCAACTCAGGTCTGCTTTTGTGCTTTATAAACGTTATTATACCATTATATATTTAGATCTTTACCAAAGCTTTTACTTTCTTTAAACAGCTCACTTGCTAGAAAAGCTTGGAGACAAGACTGATCTACTATATAAGAAAATCGGAAATAAATAATCATCATTTTTATTTTCAAAAATGTAGCAAAACACCTGAGGTTAAAAGTGTTGCATGATAAAGAAAAAAAGAAAAGGACAAAAACAGAAATTATTGTACAGATTTTAGCAGGAAAAAACTATATTTACTGTGGGAGAGAATCTATTTGTTAGCGTTAATAGCTGGGTTTCTGCTGACCAATTGAGCAATTTATAATTACCAAAAAGAATTTGCTCAATAGAAACAAACAGTTTTAAAAATAAAATTTTAAAAATCATACTTTTTGGGAATTTTTTTTACTTTTTTTTAATTTTTATTTAGGATGACCCAATTTTTTGGGGATATCAGAACTGAGGATCACAGGATTTAGCATTGATGTGGCATTTTTTTTAAATCAAGCTAATGTGTGAATAGAAATATCTACATGTGATTTTCTTTTCATTTCTTAATCCGAAATTGCAGAACCATAGTGTTTTCAAATTATTGTATGGAAAACAAAAAAAAAAACAAGAACGCATGTAAAAATGCTGCAAGTAGCAAAAACCAACTGCAATTTAAGAAAAAATGCAAACTAACCTTGCATAATAGAAGGGCTCCATACTATTAATGGGAGACAAATTACTCAAATTATTATATATTGACCAAAACCTTAACAAAAACATGATTGTGATGCTATGCAGGGGAAGATAAGTTACATTTTCATTTAAATCTTAACATCCTGTTTTTACGCCCTTGGTCTGTTGGGTCTGGTAACATCTGAGATGATAGCAGTCTCCCTCTAGTGCTGTGGAGCAGTTCCGCTATGCGGTTCTAGCTTGCAGCTTTTGTTTTAAATTTTTTGCAGCATTTTTCCTTTGCATGTATTTTCTCCATTCAGTTTCATTTTTTGTTTTCCCGTCTAATGGTGCATCCAAACTGAATTTGGTTTCCATGGTAATTTCTGCAAGGATCGCAATGAGTCTACCGCTGTGCATTTGAGTTTGCAAGACCTTTTAAATTTGCTGTAAAATAATTTATTAGCACAACGTTTGCACCCCTTGGCCTCTTTAAATGTTTTCAGTGACTGCTTTCATTTCTACCGTACAAGATTTAAATTTCGCATGACCTGATAGTTTGCCTTCATGTACACTTTTTCCATGTACTGTTTTTTATTTGAGCTCTACATTGTCAATTACTTTTATATTGACCATTACAATTTATCTCATGTTTCAAACATGCTACCCGAAAGGAACATAGTCACAGAAATATGTTGTTTAGTATTAGGAAAAAAAACGGTCCACACAAGTCCAAAATGAAAAAAGGATGAAGTAGATGGTTAAATGATTCTAAAATAAAAGACAAGACTATCTATGCACTACCAAAAGTATTCGCCTATCCATCCAAATTATGGAAATTAGGCGTTTTAATTGCTTCCGTGGCCTCAGGGTGTAGTGAATCCAGCGTTCAGGTACACAGCCTTGTTCTACAAATATTAGTGAAAGAATTGACTGTCCTCAGGAGCTCAGCGGATTACATGGTTGGAATCCACTGAGCTCCAGGTGGTTGGACAACCTGTCTAACAGGTTTAGATGTCAAATTGAATTAAATCATAAATCTCCATCTATCAGCTCTCAAAGGTCATGCCAAGGTGGAAACTGTTGGGAATGAGAGAAACTCAACTACGAGGTGATATAATACGTAAGCTGATGGAGCAGGGGTGATGATGCTGATGCACATAATAGAAAGCAGTAGGTTAAATCCCCAAACCATCCCCTAAGAACTAACCCTTAACTTTCAAGTGAAGTCATACTCGCAGCTGTGGAAGGTGCCTTGATTGAAGGTGGGAGGGTATAAAAGAGAATGGGACGCGTTCTTCCCTCCAACAGAAAAGGAAAGCAGTTGTTGCTATGGCAACACAGCGATGTCTAATGTGTGTGGCTGTAGCTCTTTGGTGCATGTTAACAAAACATTTGCCCCCTTTCTTAAACCAAATGTATACGGCCAAATAAAACTATTTCAAAGAGCGTCCATTTTTTAATTAAATACGTTTTTTTTATATACTAACTTGTGACTTCTGTCAGTGTGACGAAGAAGTAAAACCAGCAGAAAATGTTTTCTCCGCTCAATTCCAGCGAGCCTCCCATGCCAAACCACGTTTGGGATGGCACTTAATGTGGCGTACCCACCAGAGGAATGATCAAACAGAGGGTAGTGTTCAGGGTTAGTGCTTAGGGGCCGGTTTGGGATTGGGCTGTCTCCAACTTTCTGCAGCGTCAGTCACCACAGAACTCCAGTCGTGGCCTTCAGATAAGCTTAGCAACAATTCATAGTGTTTCGTTGGATTCAGAGGAGTAAATCTTGCTGCCACTGGACTATAGAGCAGCGGAGATGTATCTTCTGGAATGACAGATGGTTTTCCATCTGGCAATCTGAAGGATTCGATCCCCAGATTCCCAGGTGAAAGTCAGGCAGACTCTGACCATTTAGCCAGAGGGATTTGCCATTGGCCAATCAGCTAAGGATCTTCACTGGGAGGTATACACTGTCACACATGCTACCGACTTTATGGGAAAAATTTGGGGATAGTCCTCTTCCCTTTCAACATGACAGAAGCCCAAAGCAACATCTATAAAGACTAGTATGTTAGAGCTTAGTGGGGATAAGCTGGAATGACCTGGAAAAACTAAGGGCCAATCCAAAGAGCCACTTTTCCATGAGCTAGACTAAGTAAAATATGTTTAGAACTGCAAACTATTACATGACTTTTTAATAAAATGTAACCTATTATTTTTGTTGAATCTCTGCCACAGGTAACCAATTGCCATTCTTGTTTCTGGAAGAATTCTCAAAGATTCTTCATGGTTTCCAGAAGAGCTGAAGAAGTTACAGCTGAAAAGGGTTGATCAGTCATACTGAACCCTACAGATTAGGAATGGGAGGTCATGTTGTATTTGATTGAAAACAAAGTGTTAGGGGATTGTTTAGCAGCCATATTGGGTTTTTATGTTGCATTTAGTTAAAAATAAACAACCCTCCTAATATCACAATGGTCTAGATAAACTGGATAAGGGAATCTCTGCACCAGGTGGAGGGGCTTAATTTTTTCAAAATCTGCTCTCTCAACAGCGTTTTTTTAAGGACATAAGTAAATCTCATGGTAGAAGCTCTTAAAAATTGATTTTTCCTTTTTTAAAAGAAGCGATTTTCAGCTGTTTGATGTTTAGGTGAATATGAAAATGAGTTAAAATAGTAAAACTATCAGATATTGTGTGGTTGTGTTTGACTTTTAATGATTAAAAACTTAAATCTTACCAATTTCATCTGAGTTGCTGCAATAATGTTGTCCTTCTCATTCAGATAGTTTTATTAATGAAAAAATGGCACTTTTAAAATTTCTTGTGATCTAACAATGTTCATACCTTATAATGTTAAAAAAGCATCTGCTTTTGTATAGTATTTATTTATATAGAAATGTTTCTTTTGAAATATGTATCCTCCCCAACACAACTACCATTTCCTTTACCTTTTTTTAAATAAGCAGAAAATTCTGAGCCTGTTCTGATTAATGATAAACCCTGATAGACAGTTTATCTCTCCATTACTCACATAAGCCTTTAACTCAAACAATAAACCTGGTCACCAAGCTATGCTGCTGAGTGTAGCTATGAGGTAAAACGATGTTGTACTGACACCTTTTATTGCATTAAGGCATGATTCCATTTCCAAACCTCTTAAAAAAGTACAAATAAACACAAAGTTGACCAACAATAACTAATTACAATGAGAAAAATCCAGCTTGTTAATTCCAAACATATTCCCTAAACTCATTATTTCATTTCTGATAAGATTTGAGAAAACAAACAGGTTGTAGTAAAAGAAATTGTACATAAAAGTAAACAGCAACGAGGAAAAATATACATCAGTTAATTAAAAAAACAAAACAAAGACTTTTCTGATTAATCAGTAAAGAAACAACAGCAAACTGCATATTTTTCATCGACAAATTTGGCGTAAAATCATAAACAAATACCCACATTTACATATATTTATAAAAAACAGGGCTTTTCTGTAAGCATACTAGTACTAGCCAGTTTGAATTATTGCAGGGTGGAGATCAGTGAGCTAAAAGAGCCACTTGCAGCATGGTGTGCTTCCTGTTTATCAGCATCAGTGGTACAAAAGCAACACGACAACCAACTAAAACAAAACATCCTGATAAAAACCAGCCTGGTATCATTTTCAAACATCGTCCTATAAAAAGTGCATAATCTTTAATTTCATTTTCTGCTTTGCAACACAAATCAGGGGATAGATGTGATTCATCCTGCCTGCCAGGCCACATGCTATATACTTTAGTGAATATATATTAAATCAGCTATGTTATAATGTCATGGATGACTGATTTCTATGATATTTCTTACTGAATCTGAATTTATACATCTCAATTTAGCTTCATCTGTCATCATTACACATAAAAAGGACAACTTCTCTCAATGTTAGTAGAAAAGTCCATGCTAATGTAGCACAATAACATCCTGCCTGCTTTGCATCTCTCTAGAGAGTCCTTTGATGGAGGATCACTGTGTTTTGGTCCAGTTGCTTTGAAGACCAAAGACTCCGAAATAGCAAGGATCCACAGAACAATCAGGTCACTCATATTTCTTCTTCATTCCACCTCCAAACGTAGTATTCATCCTAGTTTGTGCACGTAGCCACTTCTTTTCCATTGTTACTCCTTCATTGATTCTTCACAAGAAAACCACATCAGATTAAGATCTCGTAGATCTTTATTTCACTGGCATGTCTTCTGTCCAGCCACTTTAAATCAGTGAAAAAGAATCGCAATTTGCACCATTTTATTTTTTTTATGAAACACACTGCACTCCGTTGTATTTGAAAGACAAAAAGATGAACCGATCAGCCATGACAGTATGATTAGAGAAGCTCAGGTAGGATGAGGAACACTGTTCATCTATTTTCACAGCCCAGTCAAACGCCTTATATGACACCAAACCTCCCCCATGGGCCCAGGGCTTGAGTTGAGTGAGAGGCTGGTCATTTCAGCCTTTTGCCATTTTCTACCTGTGCACTTTTTTTACTCTTTGTTTACTACCAAAATAAGCTGATTTCCCCCTAACAATGGGTAACAACCAGTGATTAGTTCCTACCCACCAGGAGAGGTTTTATAATTCAGCATTACCTCATACTCTCAACACACTGACTGTAAGTCTAACTAAGTGTCAGATTATATAGGAAACTTCAGCTTGCTGGAGATGTTGAAAGCAGTTGTTGGGAAATCACATATAATTAATAGACACTGTGCATGTCAAAGATGTTGCATGCTTAAAAAAATGGTAAGTAATCTCAGGGCAAAATGTACATATGGATAAAGCTGGAGGTCTAGGAGGGTATTTCAGTCAGACAGATAATTCCCATTAATGCCACGTCTTCTACAGAGAACATGTGAGTGGTGTACTGTTTTTGCAATCAAGGTGAGTCCCTGCTGATCTGTCAGAAGCTGATGTAACCCATATTCAAGGCTTCATCACCATTCTTTCCCCCCACACTGGTATTGTAAGACCCTGATCTCTAACCTTTAAAATCATCTTAAAGTTGTAAACTAAGTGTTATTAAAAGAGTGAGCCCTGAGGGTATGCACCTTCAGTGCCAGAAGCCTATATTAGAGAAGATAAACACAGCTTCCAAGTTGTTTTGTTTTATTTAAGGCTACCACAAAGTTAGCTTGAGTAGGAACACCACGACTCAGTCTCTGACATAGGTGCACATGTGGTACTGCTAGAGAGTCTTTTGGATTTACTAACTAAGAATGTCTGTAGACTGCAGGATTGTAATGGTGCGTAAAAATCTGTTAATCTTTGTAATTTTGAATTAAAACCACAAAGATTACTCTCAGACTGAGGTCTGCATTAAAACGCTTAAACTCAATTCCTCCATTGTATTCTTCTTCTGGTAATCTAACATACGGTAATTACTATTGTTAATATTGATACCATGAATCATTTTCTGTAGAACCCACAGCAGGTAGACGGGTACTTTTACATCTTGGATATTATGTTTATGGAAAGATTATAAATATCTATGTAATAAGTTAGGATAAAGGATATAAGATTTCTTTTTTCTGACATACAGCCGTTCTTTGTTTTAGGATGGCTAGATGTCACGCATCTAATTTCAGATTATGAATAGAACTTTAGATTTGACTTGGACTCGTCCCTTTAAAGACTTGAGAAGGATCCTGTTCCATTTTTACCTTTTTATCATCATTTTATTATCATTTTTTATCCTTACACCAGAGGACATACTTTTTATGCTGTAGTATTTTTATGAATTATGAAGGTTAGAATCAAAAAGCTACAGTATACTATTCATTAACTAAAAGTACTTTCCCCATTGCTTTGCCTTCTGATTCCACCCTTAAAATATGACAGATTAGGATTCTAGGCCTAGAACCTTGTGACCAACCATTGACAGATAGTTTTCATTGGAGTCATACTGTAGCAACACATTTCCTTAAAGTAAAAAGCTAAGCTTAAAGTAAAAGGCAGAAATTTGTTTTAAATTGTAGGCTTCCATAACAGGACTGCACAGTGGCACAGTATTTAGCACTGTTGCCTTGTAGCAAGAAGGTCCTGGTTTCTTTCTGCATGGAGTTTGCATGTCCCCCCATGCATGTGTGAGTTTTCTCTAGGTGCTTCGTTCCACAGCTCAAAACATGACTGTTAGGTTGATTGGTGTCTCTAGATTGTCCGTGAGTGTGTCTGTGCATTGTTGTGTGTCCTCGTGTGTCTCTGACTGGCGACGTGTCCAGGGTATACCCCGCCTGTCGCCCGTAGACTGCTGGACATAGGCACCCTAACCCACTGTGACTCTGATGGTTATTAAAACAAAAACATAACGCTCCTTGGTGGACAACAAGTAACACAGGTTGGCTCAGTACAACCAACAAAGGGTTGTGTCCAAAATGGAGAAGGGAAATGGGTTACGAAATGGCAAAGATCTGGAATGACCAGTATGCAAAGAGACTTGACCTTAGAAAATGACCTGTGAACATCTTGGTAATAAGATATGGGCATTTTTATAACTGTTTATCTGTAATATTCAATAAAACAGATTACTCCAATGGCATTTAAACTGGTCTGCACTGGGAAAAGTAATTGGATAAAAGATTATTTGCTCATAGGCATGAAATGAAAATAAGTTAGAACAGTGAAGCACAATATTAAGCTACAGATGGAGCATTGACCAAAATGAGCCCTATTAAGACGTAGTGCATCACCTTGAAGTGATCAGAAGAAGACACCATCTATATCAGTTTATAGCTCAGATCCTGATCTGATTGGATAGAATTCCCTGTTCAAAGAACCTGTTCTCAGCAGGGACCAATGATCCACAGTCCATACTCTGTTTTTTTTCTGTTTTCTTCATGAGCTAGTTCACAAGCAAAATGAGGTCCTTCTCAATTAGACTGCTATCCCTAATGCTATGGCTCATCAGTGTAGATAAATAATGCAGTGGATGTTGGAAGGTTTCAGAGGGAGATTAGATCTGTAGCTGGGTTACATTTCAGTTCATTTTATTCAGAGACAAAACCAGCAATTAAGCTCATCTAACTGACTGGATGATAAAGTATTTGGTTCATGTTGGTTAAAGTCTGAATTCACCTACAGCTCTCCACTCACTCCCATTGCTGCATCTCTGTGAAGAAGCCCTCGTAAAGACCAAAACCTTGATCCAGAGTCAGAGGAATGGCCTGCGGCTCTTCTTTAATCTCCTCCCACGGCTGCAGCATTGCCTCTCCCGGCTGCTCTGGGAAAAGCGTGGCGGACTCATCGAACTGTTGCAGATGAAGATGTCCCTGCAGCAGCTGATCTTGCTCCAGCTGTTGCTGCCTCTGCGACGGCTGCTGCAGCTGAGGCACACCGAGTTCTCCTATGTTGATGGAGTTCTCCATGGAAGCGCCGCTCAGCTCCAGGTAACTGTAGGACTGGTAATGGTTCATGTCTCCGGTTGCACACCACCTCCCCAGGCCTGCTGCGTACTGCCTCCCATGCATGGAGACCTCCATCTCACAGCCCAGGGAGCTCAGCGCCGTGTTGATATCCAAATCCTCAAAGGTGCTGCAGCTGCCGTCGAGAACATCATCGAACACAGACGCCAGGTCAAAGTCCCCCTTCAGGCTGTCTGCTTTATTAGCTTCCATGGCTAAAAGAGGGGAATCTGTAGATCTCATTAGTTTGCTATGGTCTTTAGAGGACAGGTGCTTCCTTTTATTGCCCACCACCTGATACGGACAGGTGTTCTGGCTGCTGTGATAGCCTTGAACCAGCTTGTTCTGTCTTTGTGCTGCACTGCTGCTGCTGTAGTGGTTGGCGGACATCCTCCTGCGTTTGAAGATACCGTTGACAAACATGTCCGCGTACTGAGGATCGATCTGCCAGAAGCCCCCCTTCCCAGGCTCGTCTTTCTGTCTGGGGACCTTCTTGAAACACTTGTTGAGGGACAGGTTGTGACGAATCGAGTTCTGTACCAGAAGGAAAACAAAAATAGGAAAAAAAACACATTCAACATGGTCACAGACACAAGTAACAATCAGTCATGCGAAAACAAAAACAAAAAAGTCAATTTTTTCAGTAGACAGCGGAGTGGGCGTTGGGGATATTGTTGTTGTTTGTATAGGGAAGCAAATGTACCTAATGAGGCTTTCTAGTAACAGGCGGCTCGGAGCATTTCAAACATGATCAGCTGTGCTTAGCTGCCAGCTCTCTCAGGAGCCCTCATTAAGACATATGTACACACACACACACACACACACACAAAACACATCCACACATACAAATGCTTCCTCCAGCCACTGTCCCCTCATCCCCACCTATGTACTGTAAACTCAAAGAAGAGGCCATTTAAAAAGTCTGGATGACCCCAAAAGTTTCCAACATTAGCTTATATAAGTAATATATTATCTTGCTTTTATCTGACTGGCCAATAGACCAATCTGAGGTTATATGATTCTTGGTTAAATTGTCTTGACTACGCAAAACTTGTCAAAACTTGCCCTCATGGGTCAATTCTTCTCTTGTTGTTCTCTGTTACAGTTTTAAAACTTTTGGTGTTTCGATCTACCATCCTTTTTTTCTGTTAGTGAAAATATATTTTTTTATTATTTTGCTGCAAATAGGTTTGGGCTTTAACTAGGCCATTGTAACCCACAAAGCTGTTGTGATCTAACCCATTCACTGTATTTCTGTTTGGATGCTAGTTGACCTGCTGAAAGGTGAAACTGTCCCAATCTCAGGTTGTTTTTCTACATTCCTTCAATTCTGATTGGCTTCCCTCCCCACAGCATGATGATGCCACCCCCATGTTTCACCATGGACACAGTATATTCAGTATATTCTGATCCTTTGATATCCTCTGACATGAATGTTGGCTCAGAGCTCGTCTGCCTGGCTGCGTGTTTCCTGGACTTTCGCCTTTTACAGCTGCTTTTTGTATCTCTGTTTCTGTCTCCTTGAACCCCAGTCAGCCTCAAACCCCAGATGGCCGCTCACACTGAGCCTGGTTCTGCTGGAGGTTTCTTCCTGTTAAAAGGGAGTTTTTCCTCTCCACTGTCGCTACAGTCATGCTTAGTGTGAGGGATTGCCTTCGAGTCAATGAGCCGATGCAATCAACTGGTTTTCCTTAGATAAAAAATGTTGAATCAATTTGACTGTATGATCTGGTGAACTGTGATGTGCCTTGAGATTACATGTGTTGTGAATTTGAAATGGAAATAAACTGAATTGAATCTTCTGTCAAATTTTTTTTTATTTTCATGAAGGACAAATGTTTTTCATTTTTATTTTACTTTCACCTACCCTCACAAAAAAGACCAAATTTCACCTGAGCTGTGAATATTTAAGTTACTGAACTCTTTACAGCTTCTGTGATTTATATTTTATTTTTCTAAGAACTTTGAAAACCCCATAAGACTTTCCTATGACTTGATGATGATTTGCTGCTTTGTCACCTATAAGATCCAAAATAAAATTAAAAAAAAGTTTTAGTACCTGTTCATTTTACCTGTTCAAATAAAGAAAAGATCTGCTTGTTGTCCTGGACTCCTAACATTGCGTGTGTGTGTGATGGTGACACTGGAGTCAATTGCTAAGCCTCCCCCCACCTTAACTCAGCATTGTCAGACTCATTAATTATAAACAGACTCCTATCCGGGCTCGGTTACCTGCCAGCTGGGTTCTGCGTGTCTGTAGTAGCAGAAATTCTCCGTTATCCAGTTATAGATGGTGGATAAAGTCACTTTAGGCTGTTTGCTGGCCTGCATGGCCATGCAGATGAGAGAGGCGTAGGAATATGGAGGCTTGACCTTAGGGTTTGTTTTGTAATCCACCTCTACCAGCGGGCTCGCTTGGACCTGGATCTGTGGATGTGGATAGGATGGTGTTGGGTGGGCGCAGCTGGGGAACCGCGGTGGTGCAGCGGTGGTTTCACTGCCAGAGGTGACAGGGCTGCCGGGGTACAGCGCCATCCCGGCGGCGGCTGTATCCCCAGCAGGTGGGCTGGATGGTGAGTCGGTCCCGGCTCTAGGGAAGCGTTTGAAGAAGAGCTGGTGCTGGGAGGATGAGCAGTCCGGGCCGGGTCCAACCATCCGCTCCGGGTCCGCGCTGAGGATGGAGAAATTCTGCAGCCAGTGGAGGCTGGTCAGGCTGTCATCCAGGGGGGCAGAGTCAGAGCCGCCGGCCTGATCCTCCGGGAACGCAGCCAGCCATTTCTCCTTAAACTTGTTGGCAATGTCAGGACTCGATAAAACGGGCATTCTGGCTTTATACAAAGGACCGAACGGGTCTTACTGACGCATTTAAAGTTTGGGTTCACTGCTTCAAGTGGAAAAATAAAAATAAAAGCAGTTAAATACGAGAACACAAAATCTAAAGTTGTCCAACAAACAAAAGCGCCTCTGATTGAAATCCCCGCAAAAAGGATGCGTAAATTCTCTACCCCTGGTGCTCAGCTGGGGAGGATGCTGTGAATGCACCTGTTGCAGTGGGTTCCTGCCTCACTCTCTCTCTCTGAGGGATCAGTGGCGCTCCTCTGTGCGCAACAAGTCGGTGGGGGAGGGAGATGAGCATCCAGCGCGCACGGAGCTCCAGAAAAAAAGGACAATTAGCTGAAAGCAAAGCGGGGTTTGAGTCATCCAGACGGGCAGCTCTTATGGGCTGGATGTAGAAGAGCAAAAGATGTGAGGATTTGAAAAGGTTGAAAAGAATACAATTTCTCATTAAGCCCAAGAGACTGCCCACCGTCTCTTTAAATACCCGAGGGGGGGTTGCTGATTGGCTGCGCAGATATTTCATTTTTAGCCCCAACCTTCTTCCAACACCCCCACCTCTCCCTGCAGGCCTGCAGATGTTGAACTCTCCCACTCAGATGAGTGGAAAAGAGTGCAGCCATAAGAACAAACACCTAATGCCTGAAACAAGTTAAATGTGACCTTTGCTGCGCGCGTAATGGCTCCAAGACGCGCTAAAAGAAAAAGGCGCCGTGCGTCCCGCTCTGCTCTATAAATCTTTAGTGTCACTTCATTTAATAAAATGCATTAAATAAAACTCTTGTTTTCACATTTTGTCACCTTAATGCGCAAAAGTTCGCACTGTTCTATTTCCAAAACAGTTTGAGAACTTATTTTTCTCTCAACAGACAAGCAATTATGGGTCAGATAAATTTCAGTATGAAGGTCCTGGTTGGAATTAGTAAAAGGGGAAAAAAAATATCAAGGATGGGTGACATGTTTTATTTGAACATATTCCTTTAATACCGACTTTTTTTGTTAAATGATGAGGGTAATTTGTTTTATTTTTATTCTAACTGATTGTTATTATTATTTTTTTATTATTTACAATCATCCCGTTAAAACATGAATTTAAAAAATCCCACCAAAAAAAAAAAAAAAAAAAAAAAAAACTTACCTAACTTTATAAACCAAAACTTTTTAATTCATCCATTACTCCTCGACTAAAATAGAAATGGTGCAGAAAACATGCGACCCATAATTATGTCTAACTCTCTTTATTTTTACATTACATAAGTGCCACAAACGTTATGTCTAAATGGATTAAAGTTGCAAAAATCTACTTTTCGTTTGTAACCAAATTATATCATTTTCTGTTGTTGTTCAACGCAACAACAAAAAAAATTACAACAAAACAATAAATATTGACTTTCATTATGTCAGTAGTAATAGTAAATAAATGAGGATTTTCTAAGGTCTTAAGACAGTTATAAAAACCTGGAAGGGGTGTTTTTATCACAAGTTTATCACGCTCTTAAAAGACGTGAACACTGCCATCATGTGGATTATTTCTGCAGTTCAAATTGCAGGTCTCTTAATTCCTAATGGATGTAGATGTTCTGCTTTTAAGTGTCAATTAAATGTGTGCAATAAAGATCCTTTATGAGAAGATTTACTAATCAGGGTCTGATCACATTTTCTGTCAAGCATCTAATTATTACTTCTAAAATGTGTGGAGATACAATGGCTGTAAAAAATGTGACTCTAACAACACATTTCCAGTACATTCTTATTCACAATACATTCAATTGTCTAAAGTTAGTGACCTTCCTCCCATTTAATCACTTGTGATTATTGGGGACACTGTAGTTTTAGGGTGTAGACATATATACTCCCAACTTTAGCATGATGCCATGTTTCAAAGGGTTTTGAACCATTATTTCTCACGTGGAGCAGCTTTTTATTGTTTTTTTTTTTATTTAACTTATTTTAATTACATTAGATTTTCTATTCTATTTTCTATTCTATTTTACATTAGGGTGAGTGGTGGCCTCGTGGCATAGAGAGCATAGAGCTTGGAATCCTGGGGTTCTGAGTTGGAGCCCCACTCCCACAGACTGCCACTCTGGGTCCCTGAGCAAGACAATTAACCCCACACTGCTCCCCGGGCGCTGCACAATGCCAGCCCACAGCTCCCCAAGGGGATGGGTTACATGCAGAGAATTTATTTCGTTGCTCTGTACTTGTAACATGGTAATGACAATAAAGCTATTCTATTCTATTCACTCCCACAGACTGCCAATCTGACTCTCTGAGCAAGACCCTCAACCCCACACTGCATGGTGGCAGCCCACTGCTCCCCAAGGGGATGGGTTAAATGCAGAGTTAAATTTCTCCAATGTGAGATCAATAAAATTGTATTGTTATAGATTGTATTTTATTTATGTTTGGACTCATGATGTGAAAAGTATCCCAGAAATATTGTTTCCTCACATAGGCATCAAGCCAAATTGATGATAATGTTTAAGATTTAAGTTAAGAGATAGCAATTAGGAATAAGATGTCATGTGCAGAAAGGGGTTGGAGTGGGGTAAGTCTGACAATGTGTGGTGGGTACTTTTGAGTATTAAAATTTGTTACAATCAGCATATAAGTAGTTAAATTATTGATATAAAAAAACTAGAAATGTGATGGGACAGATATCTCTCTCTCAAATCCTATGCTGTATGATATTAAAGGGCTGCCAAAGTATCAAACTGACCATAAAAACTGACCATTTTTTTTGCACCATGTTTTTTCTCCAACAATGCTATCCCTTGAATCACCAGCAGGTGTCACTGCTTCCCATCTGTATTTCCACCCGCCGGCCATGCACTAGAAAGCTAGAAACTACAATGTTTACAATTTACGCTTACCCACAATCCTAAGCGGCACACGTTGAAGAATTTTCTTTTTTTAGTGTGGTAAACACATCCTTTACAAGAAAATGTCGTTAATAAGCGGAAGTATTTCCTGTCTCCCACCATCTGTATTTCTATAATAAAGAACCAATATAGGATTATATAACCTCACATCTTTGAGTCATTAAGTTAGTTTTAGACAGATGAAACGCAACAAAAAAAAAATCTAAAACCCATTTCTTAAGAAAAAAAAGGATATGTATGTTTACCAACTGCATTTTTTTTTTATTTTTTTTTTGTTTATTGTTTTTGTTTATTGTGATATTTCACTAAATCAAACAATGTCCCTCCCATCAAACCCGTTAGATATGAGCGGAAACACAAAAAGAAGAACTGCGGATGTGTGCGGTTGAAGCCCCGAAGCAGACCGCACTGACATGTGTGCGCACTGCAGTTTTCAAGGGATCCACGCAAAGAGTAGCTGGCACGACGCTGCCATCACCACTTTGGATGTACTTAATTTAACTCTGGCCCATGTTATTGGTGATGGTGGACTTGTTTACCATATTTGGCAAGCGAGTGCCACAGCGCGCGTGGGAATTGGATGAGAAAGGCCGTCATTCACAAAAGTCAACCCTCTGGGTCTTCTACAAACAAAGCGCACGGTCACGGGATTTGTAGTCCAAAACAAACGCATATCCATTCGGAGCGGGTACCTTTCGAGGTGGTTTGTGACCCCTATACGTTTAATGATGTTAAGTAATCTTAGTCTTATAACTAAGCTATTTTAGTTTGTGTTTAGGCGTGAACTTTTACCCCACAGCAATCTGTTTAAAACAGAAGCGCCTACAATTCCCTAGAGCGGATGCTCCTACTTGATTGGCTGGCTCGATCTGTCAATCAAGCGCCGTTCCTTCCTCTACCGCTCCTACAGTAAATATTTGTGTTTGCTCAACCGGCTGTAATGGTGGATGAGTGAGGTAGAGTGAGACGGAACACAACAAAAGAGAGAAGATAGAGGAGAAATAAGCCCAGAACGACGGAAAGTCTGCCTCAGAAGCCAGCTGCGGCGAGTTTTTTAAGCAGGAAACGGACGCGCATCGGTGGAAAAATGGATGAACTCAAACACCAAGTCATGATTAACCAGTTCGTCCTGACGGCGGGTTGTGCGGCAGACCAAGCGAAACAGCTCCTGCAAGCGGCACATTGGCAGTTTGAGGTAAAAAGACGAAAAAAAGAGAGGAAAAGAAAATAATAAAAAAGCTGAGTTAGCATCACGCGCTAAGCTAATGTTTATGCTAGTTTCCTAACGGCTGCCCTGCCTGCCACTGTCTACACCTGAAAAAAAAAAACATTTTGTACTTAAACAAAAAGCGACTCTTCTTTTTTTCTTTCCTTCAGCAAATTTAACAGGGACGGCTCATTTCATCGTTGCTTCGTTTAGGAAAAGGAAACCAATATACAGAACAATAATATAACACACAAGGTTAAGGCACATCCAATTAGACTTTACCCGAGATTAAATACTGTAATCCGACACATGACAGCAGCTCACAGGCGAAGCCAGGGTACTATTATGCAATAATGCTGTACAGACTGGCCTACAAATGAGAACTCTGATGCTTTGTATTAACCATTTTTTTTTTTTTTTACCAGTTTAGGATAATTGACTTATTTACACTCTGCCAAGCGACGTCCAAAAAAAGAAAATTAACGCATATAAACTGCTGTGCTGTTGTCTTTTCTTTCTTTTAGACTGCCCTCAGTGCCTTTTTTCAAGAAACAAATATTCCATATGGCCATCATCATCAAATGGTGAGTGAAGATAGGAAAAGAAAAACGGAGGAAAAAAAAGGATTTTACTCTCTTTGTTTGTGTTCATCAAATCGTTCCAACCTATTTTTCTCATTGAGATGGGCTGTCCTGTGCTTTAGTCTGTTGTTATGGTGCGATAGAAACCATAGAGGAGGAAGGAGACGATGTTGTACTAACAATAACAAAGCACATGTCCGCCATGTTGTGAGCTTCCAGAAATAAACACAGAGCCAGGCATGCAGCTCCAGCAGCAGCCACACTGCACACACAGAGGGAGGGAGAGACACTGTGTACATTCAGAGGTGTCAACAGTGAAGGATTATTTTTCTCCAACCTCAATTACGTTAATAGAATCAAAATATACGGAATGCAAAACGCAGTTACTTGCATAAAAATCTCTCTATAGGATATACAAAAATGCTTCTGTTAAGCCTTTTGTGTTGATTCTCTCTGTATTGAAAGGTGTTTTTATTTTTAAATAAAGGCTAATTTGGAAAAGCTTGGCTGATTAAATGCTAATTGAACAAGTTCACAAACTAAATACGGTAGAAAATTTCAGTTTCATTCTTTTCAGCATTAATTATTTATATCTTCCCAATTTAGTAGGCCATATCAGGCCTCATTTTTGTTTTTGTTATTGTGTTTTTTGGATTTTTATTTGGAGCCTTTTTTGCAGATTAGGAAAAAAAATATTGTATTTGTGTATTTCTTAGCATTGGTGATTAGAATTGAGCTTTTTAAGATGAGTCGCCATACTGTTAATAAGAATAATGTGTATGTGAGATTTAAGATTTTGCTTTTGAGGCAGAGGAAAAACCTTTGTTATCAGGTTCCAAACTGTTTTAAGGTTTAGGAAAAAAATTTTGTAAGGAAGGATTATTTTTTATTTTGTAATTTGGTTTCTTGATCCTTCGTAAGTCCAAAGACAGCAGTAACAGGACTAGCCTGTGGCACGATGACACATTTTACTTTCTCAAATACAAAGTTTTGCTCAAGCTGTGATGTTTTGACATTAAAAAGTAAAAAAACAAAACAAAAAAAAAACAATAAGAAGCTTTTATTCAGTCATAAGATTTCCACTAAACCCCCTGTTTCACAAACATAAAGACAGGAATTCATGTTTAAATAAAAAAAAAAATAAATTTATGTATTTATTTCTTCTATTTATGAACTGTTTTTTTTTGTTACAGTGGAAGTTTTTACACCCCGCCTTTACCAATTTGGTTTTAAGAAAGCAAAAGTGTTTTATACGATGCTTCACCAGAACATGCAGCTTCCTCATTTATGTCCCAATAAATGTATTCAAACCTAGCCTAGCCTTTATATGTTAGTGAACACCTGTTATGTGAATGGTGTCCGTGTAGGGGGGCAAGGTGTTACCGTGGCGTCCAGCTCTGTTTGGCTCTCTGCTCTGAGTACGTTTAATCGGACATACAGAGAGTGGCAGTGGACCATCTTCTGCTGTAAGCGTCAGTGTAAAAGATGGGGGGGAAAACCCGTTAAGGAAAACCCTAAATAATTTCACCAAGCTAACAGATTATAGGATGTTAGAACTTGAACTGGATTCCAATCATTGAATTCTAACTTGCAGTGTGTTTTTCTGCCTGGTTGGATTTCTAGGTTGCAGCTGGTATAGCTCTGTTTTTATGTGCAGGCATTCAGTCGGCCTCTCATTGGAAGGACCACCCAGAGGTTTTTGATAGATCTGTGAAGATCTAAAGCTCAGTGCTTAAATCTCCCTGGGTGAGTTCCTGGAGAGTCAAACTGCTGTTGTTCAGCTCTGACTTATTCAGTTCTCTGTACTTTTGGGTTTTATCAAACGTTTAGCTTGTAACTCGTAAAAAGGGGGTCTTATTGCTCCCCTTTTATAAGGCAGTGTTAAATCACCAGCAACTTTATAGAACAAACCAGACTATTGAATTCCAGCAAACATTACTGCATTTGTCACTTTAGTAGGCCGGATGTGCAGCTATCACTGCATGTCTGGTCACAAAGCAAAGCTGTTGTCTCTTTCATTATCTACGGTGAATTGCTCCGATAAGAGAGGCTCAGAGAGCTTTTATCTGTCGAGCATCTGAAAAACACAACTAAGATTCACAGGATTTAGCTATTTAAGGCCCCTTGTGTGTCTTTCTGTGTTCATTCAGTGAGTGGCTTTTCGCTTTAACAGAGCAACTGACCCATTCCTGCATAGTACATGCTGTTTTCTCCTGAGGCAAAACATTACAAATGGAGAAAAACATAAAATAGGCTGAAAACTTAAAAAAAAAAAACAAAAAACATTATATTTTTTGTTTGATAAGCACGTATTTTTCAGCCTACTTCAGTTTTTTAGGATTAAAAGGAGCAAATGAAACAAAGTACAAACCAGTTTCTATTGCATAGGGAGTCCTTTTTATTTCAATTGAATAAATGAATATCTTTCTCATCACAAGTTGAGAAAATCTGTTGGGGGAAAAAAACAGAGAATCTCTCGAGTTTCTTGAGAGGATAAAAACGGAGAGCTGTCACATGATACAGCAGGACATACAGTACGAGAGCCGTCCTGCGAGACTCACCTGGGCTTGAGTAACGCAGAGATTAAGCAAACACACGGCCGATGAAGGTTATGAAACATGAGCATTATTCAGTCTTTTCACAGCAGCTTCTATCTGCAGTGCATCAGATTTTGTTTGCCTCTGTAATTATCAGGCTCATATTTAACTATTATTCTCTGTATGTTCAGGCAGCTTAGGCAAACAGAGCCACTTCAAATTAGGAAGCAGTGTACCGGTATATGCAATTTAAAGGTATAGTAGAGGGTTTTTCTGAGTTTTTGAAACACGTGCAATGGCATGCATGAGACCATTTCTCCTCATGCACTCTCTGTTTAAAAGTTGCTGTTTGCATCGATCAGACAGGCTTACTTTCCAAAAGAATGTTTGCAATTTTTCCACTATGTCAGACTCACCACCGGTAAGTGAAAATGGGGACGAGCATGTAGGATGGCCTTATGTAAACATATCACCAGAATGATTGACAATTAGGAGGACCAATTATTTAGAGGATCAACCTGGAAAAAAAAAAGAAGATCCTCAACTATACCTTTAAGTGTAGCATATTATCCTGAAGACATAGATTGTGTTAAATCCTGTAGTTCCTGGTTTGTGTGAGTTTGTCGCTCCCACCAGTATGGAAATCAGCAGTCTGCACCAGGAATAGGGACTCTCCATTCCACACGTCTCCAAACATTAGTGGTTAGTTTTTGCAGCCATCTCTCTAAAGATAGTAAAATGTCTAATTTAAAATAAATCTTATGTTCTACTCAAAAGTGGCCACCTCCTCACCACCACCCTAATGGTTAGCTTTTCTTATAGGTTCCCATCAGCTCTCTGGCTGTGCTACTCCCAAAACCTCAATATTCAAGGCAGAATTAATTTCTCTGTTAAAATAAAGGACTTCAAAGCTAAATATGAATAATATTCTGGCTTAAATTTATTTAAAACCTTGCCAAATGTTACAGCCAATAAGCTTGCAACTGCAGCATTGAAAACGGGGACAAGGTTAGATGTATATTGTAGCTTGCAGGAAAGTCATAGTGGGCTGGGTTGCCTTACTGTGTTTGGTCACTTATTCAGTGTTTCTGAACAGTATTTCTTAAAACAAAAAGGGATTTTTTTTATTCTGTTATTGTTTTGGTTTAAGACTAAAAATATAAACAATATGCAAATAATGTAAAGGTTTGTATTTTGAAAGGGTGTCCCGATGCAACTTTTTTTTATTTCCGATAAGATACTGATATTGTATCTTTGAGAATTGTCTGAAACCAATAAATCCCCCCATACAACATTAGTATGAATGGTATAGGCTTTTATTACTTTGTTTTTTGGCTAATATTGGACTGATATCTATATTAATGTTGGATTGGGACACCGCTACTTCTGAGAACTAAATTCTTTAATTAAATTCCTATTTTCAATGTATGTTTATATGCAGAAGTCAGGATTTAAATCAAACAGAGGAAATAAACTATAGTATTATCACTTTTTTTATCAAAGCACCCATCCTCAAACCTTTATCTGGTTATCGCTAAACCCAAACAAAGTGAATCAGAGTGAACGTTGTTGGTTGATGTTTATACCAAACATATCGGCAGACTTTCCAGGAGTTGGCCTGCTGATCAAGAACCAGTTCCATTCAGTGTTTGATTGAATAATTAATCTCTAACGACAGGGTGTGTGGTGTGGATACAACAGAACCGCTGATTTCCTCAACCCAAGCCAAAAATACCAGTAAATACCTGCTCTTAAACTGTAAGGCATACAGTTTAAGAGCAGGTGTGGAAAATCTAACATCAAATAGTGACTAAAACATAAAATGATATGTTTGGATAATGTATCTCCTGACACCAGAGCAGAGAACTGTCCCATTAGTCTTAACCAGCAGGCAGTACCTCCCTCATCACCTCAGCAGTAAGTCGAAGTGGGGGGGCTTCCTTGCAGCTCCTGATACGCCTCACTTTAATTTGGAGCTTCTATTTGGAGCTCCATGGCTCCGAACACCAGATCAGGCCGAGTTATCAGCCAAGCTCTGATAATGAGTCAGAATGCAGAACATCTACGTGTTGCTATTGATGCAATCTTGCATAACTACAATCACATTCCTTCTGTTGTTCTGTGTACGCCTGAATGTTTGTTTATTTCTCTACCAACCTGCATTCCAAGCTCATGCAGTGTGGGCGTTTAATGAGTCCGAGCCGTGCTGCAGCCCCTCTGCAGCTTACCGGACCTCGCCGTGCTTCACTATACAGAACTAATCTACTTTGCTCTTACCCATAACACTCTATCTCTCTCACCCTCTATCTCTCCCTTCCCCCAGGCCGTCTAAACATGAAGCAATATTGCGGCTGTAAATGGCTGTTGCATCAGTGTTTAGTGTCACAACAAACTGAACTCATCCTTGGGATTTGCTGTTTTTGGCTGGAAGCCTGGGCCCTGTACCCAGGGGCCCCTGGCAGTTTT